ACTGTCTGGGTTGCCACAGTTGTAGCTGGTAGTGATTTCAACTTTTCAGTCAGGGCAAACAATGCGTAGCAATCTCCTTCTTCTCTGAAATCAATGTGCCATTGATGACATACTGCTGGCCAGTGACTTTTCATTTCACCACACCACTTTCGATATGTGATCACAATAACTGCACGTGAACAGCCCACTAAACGCACCGTTTCTGATATTGATGTTCCCAGTCGCTGAACTATAGCGATTTGACCTTTATTGAAGCCTGATAAATCAGCTGCTACAAGGCAGAGCCGCTTTGTATACTAATACTCCAACATCAGTTACGCACATGCAAAGGTTTTCTTCCTGGGAGAACCCATAGTTATAGATGGAGGATGATCATAATGTAATGGCTCTTGGGTATATTTATGAAGCTTAAAAAAAAGGATATTAATAAATTAACAGGTAAGCTTTGCCGTTTTTAAAGAGTTGGATATTTGACAATCAAATACTGTGCTAAAATGAACTCAAGACTAACATTCATTTTAAAATTCAGTTAATGGAAGAATTTTGCACCGAATTTGAGAAAAATTTTTTATTTTCATCAAACTGCTATATATTCTCAATATTTAAACTATTTGATAAACATTAAGTGAAAATTTAAATTACCAGTATTACACCTCTCATCTAGCTATTAGATGAAAACTGAAAAATTTCAAGATGAACTGAAAAATCGAAACTGTTGAAGAAACTGAAAAATTCTAAGATATTACATGGCAGACAATTTAGTATTTTTATGATGCACAAATTTTGTGCATTTCTGAAATGCAAAAGAGATTAGAATGAGAATTTTTTTCTACACTATGATGAAAAATAAACATTAAATTAATAAAGAAATGTTTCTCATTCTAAAAAATCATCCATTGAAAATTCTAAAAACAGCTTAAAGTTTTAATTTATTTCAGAATTACAATGTATAAAAAAACTTGAAGATTTCAACAAACACAATTATGTTAGGATTACAATGAAGACTAACATTAAATCTATGAAAATAGATTAAAATTTAAGGAATCTGGAAAAACTTATTATCAGTGATAGTAACAAATAAGTGACTATTCCTAGATTTTTCAAATAAATTACATATGAAAATCTTAAAAGTAGAGACATATAACATCAGCCAGCTCATTTCTGCAGATTTCAAACTTAATGTTATACAAATTTCTCTCCATAAAGTTCCAGAAAAAAGAATCTAAAAACACTGAAATCTGTCTCTGGCAAAAAATTCTTTGCCTTTGTCCAGTCATAGGATTTGTCCCTTGGTATATATTAGTTTAAAATATTTTGCTTTCTTACTTTCTCTAATGATTTAAATATAATGTTATTGAATGGAAGTTTATGAAAACAGACTAAAATAAGCAATTATGCAAAATTAAATGCTGTTTAAATACAAGTCTTCATTACCAGATCCAAAAAGCTGTGCCACTAAGAGAGTTAAATATTAAATAAATTGTACTCATTTAAAACAAATGAACTTGTTTTATATCTATTATGGAAAATTTTACCTTTTGCAGCAAAAGTAAACTATTCATTTAAATAAATTTGGTTTTGCTTGAAAGCAATTTATTCACTTAAATTACAGTACATATGTAAGAATTATTTTCATTAGAAACAATCATACCATGGGATGAACAAGAGAAAGCCAATAAATGAAGAGATTATTTATAGTTAATAGCACTCTTCTTTAATTTTGGAGAAAAAAAAAATTTAGTATTTTCTGATTATCTGCAGCCCCCCCCTCCCCTGAAAAGTCGCGAAACATATTCATAAGGCAGAGCAGTATGTTGCCAAAAATGTTATGTGGCAACCTATGATGTTGGCAAGTATTTAAATGGCATGATGTGTATAACAGCATGTCCGTTTTGACTAGTGTGCAATGCAGAAGATTTACGGAGCCGAGTTTGTGCAATTCTGATGTTTTTTAAGCAAAAGAAATTGCTGTGTACATGGAGGGAAAAACAGTGAAAAATGTTATTGAATGTACAAAGGATTTCTTGGATGTTTTTCAAATTTGATTGATTGACTGCTCTTATATGGAATTCTTATTGCAAATTGCACCACTTTGAAAATATTTGTTGCTTCTTGTACTTGCTTTAAATACAGCTTTTTTGCCAGTTTTAAAATAGCTTGGCAAAAAATTAGTCTGCAATGAATTTCATGACTTTTTAGTGGTGTGGATAATCGGTAAGTGACAAAAATTCCAATGCAGTACATTGTCATGTCACTTAATAAAACTACAGCTAATTGTAAATTATAACTTCTAAAAACTGGCTATACTACGATCTATTATGTTCTTATGTTATTGAAATCTTATACCAGATTTTAATAACCATACATTTTTAAGCATTCACATTATATATCATAAGTTTAACACATATAATACAAACCAATCATATCCTTTTCTGGAGCAGGAGGAACAATTCTTCCCAAATGCAAATGTTTTTCTACTAGTTTGTCATGAAGTCCAAGAAAATCACTAAATCTCCTGGACACAGAAAAGCCTTTCTTTTTATAATATGGAAGATTTGTCCTTGTAGAAACTTTATAAACCATGTATGCACCCATGCCTTCTCCTATCTTTTGTGGATCTGATACCGATATATCAAGAACTACATCACTTTCTTCTTGCTATGAAAAATAAAATAAACACATTTCAATACTTAAATTCTATTTTTAATTAAATTCTGACAATCTGCACACTTTCTAAAGTAGAGGTACAAGTATTAGAGAATTTTGCAGGCTACAGATCATATGCTTCCAAGTTTTGTTTACATTTTCTCCTATCTACTTCTTGCACCAAAGTTGGATCTTTTGGTGGCATAAATAGTTAAAACATATTCATATCTTAAAAATTATTTAATCAATATTTATAATGTATAAAACTAATACTGCTTTTTATCTTTGATTATGGAAGAAAACATCAGTACAAGAAGAGATTATTGTTTATCTGTTTATTCTCCACAACAGGTGGAAATTCAAACTAGAGAATTTGCAAAAAACTACTGAATAACTGAGTATTTTGTATTCTCTTAAATGACAGAATAAATACACAAACATACATTTACAAGAATCCAAGCAGTAAGGTTTTTTTCCAAAATTGAATCCCCCAATTAAAAATTATATGCATCAACGTTTGAATTAAACTTTGTTTTTCACAAGTTTCTTCCTACAGAAATTCTGATAATAAATTTAATTAAATTTAGATCCCAACTCTCATTTAATAAAACAAAGAATTTTAAATAAATGAAATAATTTACTCTAAATTTTCTTATTAATAATAAATAGCGAGCCAGCAGTTGACAACTTGAGTAGAAATCCACTTCAACATATAAATGGGTGGTTACATGAAGGAGAGAGAAAATTATATAACCATCAAGACCCCCCCCCCAAAAAAAAAAAACCTTTATCCAACAAGGTTTAGAAATATATTTTTACAAAAATAATATTTTTGCAACTACAAGTACTTTTACTCATAGTTTCAAATGCCTTATCTTACAACTTAATTTTTCCCCCAAAAATGTTAACAAACATGAGTAAATTTATCTTCGAGAGGAGGGATGGTCGAAAACTGAATATGCAATAAATAATGAAATACAAAAAACAAATTTAATTTTTTAATTACTTCTTCTGTTGTTTTGACATTCTTGCGGGCTTGGGGCTTTGGTGGCTCGGTTGGTTTTATTTCAGCTGGTGATGATGCAACAGGGCTTGTGTTATTAAATTCCTCTTCAGGTGTTCGAAATTCCAATTTAGATTGTGACGGTTTTGAAGTTGGATCATCATCATCAAGACTGACTTCTTCCCCACCACCTTTATCAAATCAATACTTTGTTAAAGACCATTTAGAAAAACATACATACACACACACACATATAGTATATATACACATTCATATCCAAAATTATCTTTACATGTATGAAATCATGGATTTCTTATAAACTATGAACCATAAGGTTATCCATTTGCGTGGAATGATACATAACATATAAAGGAAAAAATTGAAGAGCATTACATATGATATAAAACTTTAGCATGAAACAAAAATGGTAATAATATATTAAAAGGAGAATCCATAAAAAAGAATAATTCTGAAAAAATGAAGGCTTTTAAATTTAATATGTAACATGATCTCCCCTGACCGTATGCACAAATATTGCAACATGTTTTCATACTGCCAATAGCATTGTAAACAACAGTCTGGGAAATAAAGATCCACTCCTCCAGCAATGTGGGCATTCACATCTCTACTTTTCGAAAATTAGAAAGATTCAGTGGATCTTTTCCTGGTTTCGACATTGAGATAAAGCTCTGCTCCATGCACTGGGAAATGCATGCTCTACTGAAAAGAGCGAGAAAAGCTACCAATGACTTACAGGATAAGTGTTTCAACATAGGGTAACTAAAAAAAAGTGTGAAAAAGCTCTTTTCAGCTCAAGCCTAGATACAGCTTGATTATAAACTCGTAAGCAGGAGAAATAAAATCAATGGATTGTTTTTCAGACAGCAGCTTAGCATAAAGAAATGCAGGATGACGGTTATTGTTATTCAAACAGTAAACAAAAAATATTATTACTTATTTAAAAACAGTTCCCCACTAGATTAAGAACAGGTGATTTTGCTGACCATGGTATTTGCTCCTTCATTTTGAAGTAATTTATCAACGAGGTTTACTTAACGTGGAAGAGAATTAATGTCCACAAATAAAAAGTCAAATCCATATGCACCTTTGAAAAGTCTCACATAATGTTCTAATACCTTATCATGATATCTCTGGCCAGTCACAGATCCACCATTAAAATGTGTAGGGGCATAGGTCCACCGATTATTATTCTTTCCCATACCATCACACCTGCATTAGTCATTTAGGGAAATAATAGTCACACATAGACCAGGCTAAATGATACCAAAGCTTGAGATTTCTCGCCAAACTTGGCAATATCTCGACAGTTTAGAGACAGAACCATTTACATCAATATTTAATCAACTTGCCCCTGTAATTATTTTCCAGCACAGCTTGGCTTTTCTTGAAGCCATTCATGTTATGTAAAATTTATAACAATATTTTAATTATATTTTCAATATAATAAAACCAAAACAATCTGGCATTCAAATAAATGGAATTTTTGAATAAATCTTTAAAATTTCAGAAAAAATTTTCTCGGATGTAATCTGATTTTTGTTCTCATTTGAGAAAATATTAGGATTGGGGCAACATGCAGTCGAGCATTTTCAAAGTTACAGCATACAAGCATAAAAAGAAGCCATGATATGTAACTCTGAAGATGGATAAATACAGAGGCTTATTAATTTAGAAGGTTAAAAAAAAAAAAAAAAAAAAAAAAATCTGCGTTATTTTCAAATTTTCACAGGACTAGTTTCGATGGTTTTATCGACCATCATTCTCAGCTGCAAAAGTGCAGATGAATGAGATAAGATATATTGCTTAGATAACATAAGATAAGAAAGACTGGACAAGAGTTTGGCATCATCTGCTGATGAAACGAGAACTAAAACACAATTTCCTTAAAGGCTGAAGGCAACGATGGATTGGAATTAGGGTCGTTAAGATTTTTTTTTTTTTTTTGAATGTGAAATGCCTCTAGAAAATCTCATTCACCAATGAAAGATGTTTTTTAAATAATTTTGGCTGCAGAAAAAAGTGTGATTTTCAGACCAACAATGCTGGGCAACAGAAAACTTCTGTGTTTCCTTTTTTTTAACATATGCCTCATGTTCCTTAACGTGAAATTTTAAGGCTCTCTAGATGACCAAGTAAATTAACTACAATGGCAAGAATCTGAAAATACCCCAGGATTCATATCGGAAGGGATCGCTATGAACTCAGATTTCATTGATGAGGAATACGACCCAAAAGTTATTTCTGTAAAATATGTGCAATTTATAGCTAAGTAATGGAAAGATGGATGACAACAGTTTCTTATAACTCCTAAAAAAAAAGCCCTTTTGGGACAGACAGTTGATGAAGAACTAAATTATTTAAAAGCAGTAACTATTGACAGGAACTTTTCACCCAACATTATTAATCAAGCAGTTAAAAAATTCTCATCTCAAACACACCAAAAGGCACATTCTTTTAAGCATGCTCTAGGTTACGTGCTTATTTTATTTGGTTTTATAAAAAAAACTATTTTCTTATTTGTATGAAATATTGCATTTATTTTTGGTTCCCTTCTACAAAGCCAATTTTCTCAACACAGTCAAAGTTTTAATCACTAAAAGATATTAATAATGTGTCATAATCATTTTATTTTGAAAAAAATCTAAGCTAAAAAGACATGAGAAATTCACATAGCAAAGATAATAGTAAAGATTATGTTTCAACAAAGTCTATTGATTTAATTTTGAATAATGTTTTAAACAGAAAATTTTTATATTACACTTTTATTAATTACATACAGTACACTCCCGATTATCTGCGGAATTGGGTGGTGCAGCCGCTGCGGATAACAAAAATCACGGATAATCCGAATAAAGCTAAAAACAGATATAGCAAAAGAGAAAACAGTCATTCCAACTTTGAAAAATTGTTTTATGTACATAAAAGTAAAATAACAGAGGAAAAATTTAACCTTAATATTTTAGTATATAACTCAAAACAACCTAAAATGCATTTTTAATGAAACAGAAAAGTGCTTTGTACTTATGAGAGGCATCAAGGATACACAGAAAAATTAATATATATGTACTGTTTTAGTACTGTAATGTATTATGTAATTACAAAAGCATAAAAGTAAAACTACACCTTTTTGAAGAAATCAGTTATTTGTGTTAGCTTCTTGCTTTGGAAGCATTTTCTCTTGATTCGAAATTGCATTTTTCATAGCATAAGTATCTCAGCCAACTCCATGTCGTCTTGTTCTTCTAAATAGCTCAGCAGTCTGTCGACTTGTTGCAAAGCCGCTTGAGTCTTCCGCATCTGCACAGTGGGCTCTTCTTCGCCTTCACTTTGCTATCCTTCACTCTCGGTCTCTCCCCTTGCTTTCTTCACAATTTCGTCATCTGTCCGGTTTGAAGCCAGGTTCGTTGACTCACACTACAACACTCATATGTGTCAGCATCGACGTTTCCACTACCCGACTGTTTCCCCTATCGGCAAGAGTTGCCATGGACGTGTCTACATCTTCATTCTCTTCTTCACAACTCAAAGGGTTTAGGTTGTTGTTGGCTTCAACATTAGACACGAGTTTTCTCCATGATTTTATGAGGGTTGACGGTTTCACAGTCTCATGCAGATGCAATATTGTAGATGCTGTCCAAGATTGTGTAGTGTTTCCAAAAGTCTTTCAGATAACCTTCAATATTACTTATTAGCAGCTTGGTTCGGTATGTTCTCTTCATTGTTGCCATGAATCCTTGGTCCATGGGTTGGATTAGCGCAGTAACATTTGAGGGGGGGACTTTGCAAAAATTTGTCCATCAGAAGACTTTAGGACGCTTATTGCTGGGTGAGAAGGTGCGTTGTCAATCAATAACACAGCTTTTTCAGGCAGGTTTTTCGATTTAAGAACTTGAAGAAGAAAAATTTTTTCGAACCATACTTGAAAAATTTTTTGGTTCACCCATCCTTTTTTTTTTTGGTTAAAGTAATCAACAGGCAAATTTTCTATCCCTGTACTTTTGAAAGGTATCGTTTTTTTTTTTACTCTTAAATGACAACAAGTCTAAGTTTATATCCACCAGTAGCGCTACTGCAAGACATGATAGTGATCCTTTCCTTGCTGCTTTTATGACCCAACGCTTTACTTTCACTTTCAAATGCTAAAGTGCGAGTGGGAAGACATTTCAACAAAAGTCCAGATTCATCGCTATTGTAAATTTGTTAAAAAAAATAGCTCTTCTTTTAAAATAAATTCTTCAAATTTATGGTGGAAATCGTCAGCTGCTTGTTGGTTACCACTAAGTTTCTCCTATGAAGCCCAATTTCTCGAATTTCATGTCCCTGCTTAAAACGAGTCAACCATCCTGAAGATGCATCAAAATTTCTTTTCAGGCCTAACAACTTAAAAAGGTTTTTGCCTTCGCCGCAATGATAGGACCATTTACAGGCATACCCTCTTTTCAAACATGAGCTAACCACTCTGTCAATGCCATGTCTAGCTAATCAAAGGTAGAACCCTTCATAGTTTTTTGCATTTTCATTGGGGAAGCACTGTCCGACATTGATGCAAAGTTCACCAGTTTGTCATTTTGCTTTAGAATGTCATGCACTGTTGTTTCCACGATTCCGTAACCAATTCGATCTGCTGCCTTGTAGCGACGTTTGCAACTAGGTAATTAATTCTAGTTTTTGCACAATCATCAACACAATCTTCTTTCGTTTTCCTGACATTTTAATTGGTAACGAAAAAACAAACTAAAAAGCACAGCAGGAACACAATAAGATAAAATTAACTCTGATCGGCTCGAAAAACTATAGGCTTAAACAACAATGGCGATGGAGGAAGTGGGCCTGTCAGTAGATTTAAGAGAGAGGGAGGTAGAGCGGGCACGCAAGTTGAGTAAAAAATACTTACTCATCAAGGAAGTTCCAGAAGCCTGGGATTTTTGCATACTAAGCACGCTGTTGCAAATTGAACGTTCGCTCAGTTTTGTGAACATTTTTATTTTCTTTGCTTTACGCTTGTAAAAAAAAACTTTGTGCGGCAGGCGCAGATAATTGGGAGTCTAATGTACATGTATTGAACATAAACAAAATGTCAATCATATAATCAGCAAAGTTCTACACAGTAATTTGGATTTTGATACATTAAAAATGCCTTAAAAGGTTTATTTTAACCAACATGTTATTTTTTATCTTCTTTTTCTTGAATCTGCCGTAACCAGAATGCAAATTAAATTACATTGGTTTTAAATAAGCAGCAACTTTTTAATTTAGGAACATGCTATGACACCCATTTAGTATAGCTAAGATGAGCAGCTATTTATCTGGTTGACCTGCATATTAGCAACTGAACTTCTTCTATTCATCAGATCACAGGATTTGAGGGTCCATTGAAGGTGAAAAACTTTATATTGTGCTTTTTTAAATACTTGATATTGTGAAAACTAACAAACAAAAGTAGATATTCTTTGTTAATTTTTAGTTATTCTAAAAGATACAGTTTTAATCAAATTTTACCTCTTGTCAGCATCACTGCAATTTAGTTAAACTTTTATTAAAATAACACTAATTCATCACCGCAGAGGAAGGTTAGGTAAATTAATTAGATAGCTAATTAGGTTTAATATTGAGGCTGTTTCAAGTTCTTTAAAATATAATATTACACCAGCAATTTGAAAATCTTATTCTTAACATTTTTAAAGCTTCCAATACATTTGTAAAACATGGACAGTTTGAGTATAAATTTAAATTTTGATATCATAACTGCTATCACCATTTCGTGATAAATAATTTCAACATTCCTTAATTCAACAGTCAGGATTATCTGCATGGATTAAATGATGAAAAGTGACTAAACGCTGAGTTGTACTTTTCTACCATTAGTGTTAAAACGAGCACTTTCGTATTACCGCAACCCCCTTGGAGCAGTTTGGCAAGTTTTATAGAAGAAAAAATGACGCGAAGAATTTCTGGATTGCAACTGACTATGGAAATGGCTACCTAAAGATCAGTTATGTGCATAGTTGCCAACATATGACAACTTCTCAGGTTGTTGTGATAATATGCAAGTACCTTCAAATGTGTAGCAACTTTTCTTTAGATGAAATGATTTTTCCATCACCTTAAGAAACTTGTATTTTCAAAAATATCTGGGAAGTCTTACTTTATGACAAGACAAAGACACTTATGTTTTACTTCCATTACTAATCTATGAACAAGTAATACAAACTTTAGCAAAAATAAACATAAAACAAACAAACATGATCCAAAGAAATTTCTGTTGAAAGAGCTAGCTTCCCTCAAAAAAGAAAAATGCAATGCAGATATTTGCTTTAAATGGATATCTGCACTGATGTTAAAATATTTTTTAACCCTCCTCTCAAAGAAAAAAAAAAAAAAAAAAAAGGAGGGGGGAAAGGAAGCTAAAATTAACTTATCCTTTCCTGAAAAATTTAAAACAGCTTTTAGAACTAACTCAATGCCTATATGAAAGAGTCAAGGGTGCTATTACTGGCATAACATTTAGATATCTAATAATATCGGTAAAAAAATACTTTAAAAATAATGAAAAACATACCACTCATGAGATCATCTATGCCATTTTTTGAAAACTCTTCTCTAGATTGTGTCTGAAAATAAATTTATAAACTACTTAAAGTAGAATGGACAATAACATAATAAAGGAAGAAAAACTCTAATGCAGCATGAATTATTAAACAAATGCAACTATTACAATATTTACGTGTATGTACATATAAATTAAACCGACTCTGAATGTAAATTGAAAAGTAAAATTTACAGGATATGATATACTCAAAAGCCCCCAAAAAGTTTAAAATCTGTAAATATGTAAACAACACAATATATTTTAATTCTAAGCTTCACGTGAAAGGTGTCAGAATATCTGGTTTCTGATGAACACATTCAATGCCTTGAAATAATGCTTTTGGGATGTCAATTTGTCTAGGTTTTTGTTTCTCAAAAGAAAATTTGTGAGCTGACATAGGAAGCAATATATTACCTTCATTTCTGATTTTTTACTGTAATAAATTGCTTTCTTCCAAAATTTTACCCTTGTAGGACCCATTTTCACTACATGTTTAAGTGTTCATTTTCCCAATGGTATGTTAACTTTTTTGTGTACTGTTAGACATTTGTTTTATTTGATAATTCTCAGACATTCATCTGGTGACAATTTTCAAATACCCTATCCATTTTGTTGATTGTTTTGTTCTTCAGTGATAACAGCAGCAATGATTTATTGTCAGATATTTCACTATTTATGGCAACCTATGATATTCTGAACATTTTCGTGTCTGCCCGTGATTCGATCAGGTATGTGTTTATTAGATTATTAACCATTCATTCAAAATTTAAATCAAACAAAATTTGTACCTTACTCTTAATTTATATGATCTCTGGAGCTTAAAAAATGAAGGCAGTTTGTTATTTTCAGAAGTACATCATACTACTAGAAAATAAAAAATGCAAGCTTTCACACTCGGTGAAGCTATATATCAATGAAGAATACATTTTTTAGAAGTGTAATGTCTGCACATACTGAAAAAGACCAAAATGTATGTAGGAAACTGGTTCTAAAGAAGTCGAATAACATTCACAACAACTTTACGTTTCATATACTGCTGGTGTGAAAAACTAACATTGGTCAAGTTCTGCAAAAAAATAACTTAGAATGGCTGATAAAACAGTAGTGGATTGGAAAAATTATCTGCAGAAGATCTGCATTCTTGAGATGGCGGTAGCAGAAAAGAAAAAAATTGCCAGTGGGGGATGCAGTGTGAAGATTGACAAAAGTATGCTCATGCGACTCAAAAATAATGCTGGAAGAATATTGCCTCCTTAGCGGATTTTGGGGGCCATATAACATGAAATATGCGAAACAGTTCTTGAAATGCCCCCTCCCCCAATCGTTGTGCCACTACGCTAATGAGCTGAATTAAAAAGAACATTCAAAGAAAGAACAACCTCTTTTTCAGGCTGTTTGTTGGAAGAGGTATAAAAGATAAAAACTTGAACAATCTGGTGTATTCATTGTAAAGTAAATCACAAATATAATTTCACCAAGCTAAACTGGCACACACATGCAAAACATAAAATGCATATGGGTAATTGCTAAATGGCAAAATGAAAAGCACTACCTTGCACAGTTTCTCTGGAGGAAAAGACATGCTTCAAATAATATGTTCAATATCATTCTAAAGACAATCACAAAACATTTTCTGCCAGAAACCAAGATGTAACTATATTCGCATATCCTGTACATTTAATATGAAAGAACCATCATTTTTTCTGAAAAATTTTGACGGACTTCTTATTATGAAATATTAAATTAAATTATTCGGAAGTCAAATATCATCACGGAATGCACAACATGTTTTCTTTCACATTTGTGACATAACTTGTATATGAACATTGATTTTTTAAGTAGGCCTTTTGAAGTCCCATACAAATCCAGGAAAATGCCACGAATATTCCAGATAAACTTCATAATTTTCCAACCATATACTAGAATACATCCCAATGTAGATACATCCCAATGTATACTAGAATACATCCCAATGAAGATATCCCAATGCCTGCATGTTTTTATATGCCAAGAAGGTACTTTTCCATTACATGCCCACAATCTAAATGTATAAATTCTGCTAAATATGATGGTAAATATCAGGCAATTCTGCACTGTTGTTTATTCCCCCCCCCTTTTTTTTAGCTAACCCTTTTCCTTTTCTTTAGCTAGACATTTTACAGCCGGCATATAAATGTCAATTCCTCAGTCTACAAAGTTCAGTTTGTGATTTACTTTGGAAAAAGTCTGCTTTTTTGAGACTATTCTTGTACACCTTCCAACAATTAGAGCAGATAATGATCTCTTGGTTTACATATTTTTTAACATATTTCAACAGATACTCTGTGCCTTTATTTGGAACACCAATGAGGAATGCATCTTTTATATCATGCAAATTCCTTCAAAAGGCCACTACGGTGGAAAAATATGGCGACATTATCCTTCCTTTTCTGAAAAGACTTTCGCCTATTTGACCTGGTTCTCGCATCTTTTTCTGTTCTTGCTTCAAAACGTCCTCAGTGCAAATTTCCCTTATATAATTATTCCAGTCAATGACAGTAGTGTATGACATGCGAAGTTCATTTTCGCAAATGTCAATAGATGTTACTTTCATCGACCATAAATAAATTAATCTTACGGCAGTAGCGAAAGGGAGGCGAGAATTCTCAAACCATTTACCTTTCCAGATGGTGAGCCCTACCTCTTTTGATAAAATCATATTAAGAAAATTAGAACATTTTCAGCCCATATTGCTGAAAATATAAAATCTGTTTCATTGTTTGGAAAATCAAAAAGAAACAATTACAATGAGGACCTTCAAAATCCTAAGAAAAAATAGAAACTACAGGAAAAAAAAAAAAAAAAAAAAAGATGTTTACAGGTTACTTATGATTTTTTTACGATTCTCTGCAAATTGCTCTAAAATTTTTTTAAATTGTGGACACATAATGGAAAAATTAGACTGCAGGCACATAATGGAAAAGTACTGAGAAGATTATTCCCCAGAAATATCCAAAAGATATTTATATATTCTAGCAATGTTTCAAAAATTTAAGGTATGACCAGAAAATAGCATCTTGTCAATACCCAAAGATTTTCTTTGGCTAACTCATCACAACTTACTCTTTTTTTTCCAAGTCTTAATATGCTGTTTGAAAATATTCCAAAAATATTTTAGAGTTGAAGAATCTTTACAAAATATATAAATATGTAATTATCATAAATACTCATATTTTCATTAAAAATGTCCAAATTGCTTCAGCATATTCCTGCCATTACATTAGAAGAATATTCCGAATTGGAATATAATTGGAACATTCTAGGAATACCTCTCAAAAGTCATAAAATATTTCGTAAGGATATATTTTGAAAATTTCAAATCACTTATGAAAGCATTGGGAATGTTAAGGAGTGATATGGAATTCCAGGAACAGAAATGCAGTATTCCTGGAAGAGCCAGAATTATGCATGGCAAAAGTAAAAAGTTGCAAATAGGAGAATAAGTATTTTTATTAACACTATAAAATACTGCTTTGTAACAATAAGGTTTTATTAAATTAATATTGAGAATAGAAAGGCATTTGTGTTTTCACAAATATAATTGCAGATAACAGTAAGAGATATCCCGATTTATTAGTCGGGAAAAGTGGCAATTCTACTCAGGATTATTTCTAGTACAGTAAGTCTCCTTACAGATAAAAATATCCTGTGAAACTATATCCTTTGAAAAATTTATGGCATTTAAAACTAAAATCCACAATATTTGCTTTTTCTCAAGAAAAAGAAGTCATTTTAAAATTCCTTTCAGTTAGTGAAAAAAGTATTAACAGATATTTTGTAAACATAAAATAGCTTAAGTAAATTTTCTCAAAGTGAGAGTCTTAACTAAGATCAGAATTCTCGAAAATTAAAAAAAAAAAAAAAAAAAAAAAAAAAAAAATCAAGATATCAAAATTTTAATTTCATTTTTTCTAATATACATTAATTCAAAACCAATCAAAGTTTACTACTTTTATTCTTCATTCTTCTCAAAAGTACATACTACAATAACATCCATTCCAAACTTTAAGCATCATCTCTATATGCTATATATCTATGTGCACTATATGAATTCAATGAACTACAACCTAGTGTTTCACAAATTATGAACATTCCTAATAATTATTTCAACAAATATCAATAAAATTTAATAAAAAGACTCTCAAACTCCAATTTTTGAATGTGAGAATATAGTAGTAGCCAGGTTAATGAAGGCCATGATCAAGAAAGAGAAGCTGTATTCTTCACAAGAAAATGATACTACAAACTGCTATGCAAAATATTACTTTACAACAAGCTACATTGATTTATATTTATTCAGTTCTAAAAATTATTTATCATATATCTTTAAAAATATCATTAAATGCTTATTTATATAATCACTTTAGTATTCTTATTTAGAAGTCTTTTAAAATTATTTATTAACCTATTAAATACTGAAAACCACAATGTAGGTAATATATGAGAGCTGTATATTTTCCAGCAAATGATACTACAAACTGCCATGCAAAATATTACTTTACACACAAAATATAAAATTTTTACAAAAAATTACAAAATATTACTTTTATTCAGTTCTAAAAATTATTTATCATACATCTTCAAAAATATCATTAAATGCTTATTTATATAATCACTTTACTCTACTTAAAATTCTTTGAACCATTTTTTAACCATTTAAAATCACCTCAGATTATTTCCTGATATATTGCAAATCTTCACATAAGCAAAAACATATTGTCACTACTCAAACAATATAAAAAATAGCAAATGATATTAAAATAAGATAAAATATAAAACAGGCACAAAAAAATTAATGCATTTAGAAAAGAAATTTTTTTTTATTATTCCACATTTTTACTTTGGCAATTATCTATGCAAACACTTACTGAGCAAAATTAGTATATTAATAAAATTAAACTTTCCTACTTTTCTAGTTTTGTTTTAACATTAAATGGGTTTTCACCACTTAACTACCGAAATTTTACATAGTATGCAATAGCTATATAAAAATCCCATTTGCCATTCCAAAATTGTAATTAAGCACATTTAGCATGCTAAAGCATAAAACAAGAATACATTTTTTAAAAAATTCTTTCTTTTAAAATTTTACATATTGAGTTTGTCCACTGAAATGCTAAAAAAAACTTCTAAAAACTGCAACCTTTTTTTTTTTTTTTAATTAAAACACTGAAAATAAAGACAGATAAATTGGTAAAAAGGAGTAAAAGCAAACAATTCACTTGTTTTAATATACAAAAAACAATTTACCACGAAATTAAAAGATTAATTTAGTTATTTAATTAATACATAACACTTTACAAGTTAAAGGAAATTTTTTATAGTAAACTGGAGATTTAAATTTCAAAGCAGATACAGAAAGACCAGAAATAAAATAATTTATAATTGTTAACAAACCCAATCCCATAGGAGTGGATATCATTTATAAGCACAAGAATAGGAGTATACCTCTTTGTTTTTAAACGCAAACTACAAAATTAACATTATACATATTAATACAAAAATTAAACTCTGAATATGTATACATTATGTAAACAATATGTTGTACTACAACTCGAAGCATTGCTATTTTCTTTAAAATAAGAAATATACTGCTCTACAAAATACCCAATTCACTAAATACATTTAATTCTGATACTAGCTATCACAATATGCATAGCAGAACACTTTCTGGTGTCTCATTTCCGTTTAACTGACTAAATGGTATATGCTAAAATAAATAAAACACTTAATATAGTTTCGTTAGTAGAATTTTATTTCATTACTACTAATATTCTAGCTATGAATATATGGAAAATATATTAATGAACAATTCGAGAACATTTTTAAAGCGAAATAACGAAACTAAACTGATATACTCAGGCAAAATAATGATAAACTGACATAAAAAGTAATTAAATTACATAATAAATAAGAACAAAGTTATATCAAATCAAAGCGAACTTCGTAAGTAACGAATCTGCTATTCGAATGCATAAACAGAATTTGGATATGACGAAGTTACAAAACACCAAAATGCAGTCTCGATCATTAATGAAATTTCACTTCTTGAATACTCATTCTTATAGCTACCTCAAGTGCAGATTTAAATATATCGTCAGATTCTGGTTCTGCCAAATTTTCTTCAAAAGGAGGTGGTTCCCTCGAATCAGCCATGTTTACAATACGACCGATGGGCAGTAATGAGACTAGATTAATACGATTACCGAGCAACTTTTTGCGCAATCACGATTCCTTTCTGACAGATACCGGTTATAAAAAATACTGCGAGTTGAAAATTGCATTAATCAGGTAATACTAATTTTTCAATGTAATTATATATTTGAAGGGGAAAAAAAACTACTCAAGAATGAAATGGGTATAAGTAGAAAGAAAACATTTAAGGTTTTTGGTATTTGCTGTTTCCTTATATAAAGGAACATGTGATACCTTTTCAAATAAAATTATTCTGTTAATTATAAAAGAACTAATAGCTCTTAGCTTTACATTATGATTTGAAAAGTATATTTTTAATTAGTTATAATAAAACTTTCAACAGAATACATGATTATAACGACCGACAGATAGCGCTGCGAAGTTGTCTGCTAGCTCCGTTGTGCTTTCGAAGGAACTGATTAAAAATTGAATAAAGGAAGATTTAAATTATTAATGGAAATTTATACCCAATAGCAGGTTGAATAATTGAATAAAAGATGGCGAAATAAGTTCAAGTTCGAAATGCGCAATACTCAGGACCTGATTCTTGCCGAAGCAAATGGAGCTCATGATGCTTTGATGCTTGGGTGTTCGTACTGGTATTCAACTGAAATTATTCCTGTTCTTACCAATTCAGTATGGAGTCCCGTGTATGGCCTAGCATTTGAAGAATCTTAAAGAATAAGTTAAATCCTTTGTTGAGAAGGAACTAAGGGGAAAGAAGTGAAAAATGTGGCCCATTGTCAATGAAGAAGTTTTCGTGACTACAAAAAGTTGGATAAGAGTGTGTCAGCATCAAAATATGTGTAACAGGACATCATTTACAAAAGCTGCTAGTTCAGTGTATTAAAAATTGATAATCACAGCAGTAACTGTTGAAAATGTAACTTACTACAAAGTCATCTAAACCTGTAAACACACTAATATCCTTTCCCACCACATTTCTTCTCACACAGCTGAGGTCACACAGCTCCCGATTTCTCTTTCTAACGTATCCGAGATTAGAATCTCATCTCTGCGGGACTACAAAAAAAAAGAACTCTTCCCTTCTGTTTTGAAAGTTCTGTTCATCGCTCATATTAATGTCATTCTAACATTATGAATGTATTTTGATAGTATATGTTTATAAAGTATAATTTTAAGTTTTAATATTTTGGCAACATTGATATTTTCAAAGATTGTAATAAAAAATGTATCTGGCATCTAGAGAGATTGTTATGGTTTTGGAGAAAGTGGTAAAGCTCGTTATTATTAATCTTTACTGTTTAATTATTGATTCAGGATCGACATCTCACATGGCAAACAGTAAAATTAATAATAACAAGCTTTAATAACGTTTTCTTTTTATATATTACTATAATGTGCTTCTTATTAGAAGTAGATAATTCGGCTAAATCGCAGAATAGGCTGCATCACTCGATGCTGTGTTTACTTCTCTTATTCTTGGACACGCCGTTTTATGACGTAATATTGGTTACGCCTCTTCCTAAAAACAAGTTATAAGTATGCTATAGCTTCGTATACAAAGAAAACTTAAATTATACTTTAACTGAGTTGAAATGGTAGGCTTAAATGTCTGCGCGAGATTTTTTTATTATAAATCTCTTTTGTGGTTGTGTGTAGTGTTAGCATTTAACGTAACGAATTATCTCTCACAAATGTATTATTAAGATACCAAACGACTGAAAATATTGAATGCCTGAGTTAAAAATTTTAAACGTAACTTCTGAAAATACAGAAAAGGGTTTAATCCTAGTATCCGGTGCACAAGGGATTTGGCTACTTTTGGCGAATTTATGATAAATAGTAAACCGGACATATACGATGAGTAGTTAAACTGGTCATTTTGGTGTTGGTGATAATTTTCAAAATAGCACCAAGGCTGCACCGTATACTAGGATTGTACCCAGAAAAGAATATATCTGAAAATACAGTATCTGAATCTGAATTTTTTATCAGTTGGAGCGAAGAGGTAAAAAGAACGTATTGAGTGGTGTATGGAGAAAGTTTTAATTGCATAATAATCAGTGTTCCAATTTGTGAACAAATATGAAACTAGTAGAGCGAAAAACCGTATAGACGGTTTTGAGTGGATGTGTAAATTACTGGAGGCGAAGTAGGCACAATTTTCAAGTCTTTTGGAAGAGCTGGTTTCGAAGAGTAAATGAGCAGTTGATGTTTTGCGAGTTACCTATATGTTTGGTAAGTGTGGGAAGATTTTATACGTACGGAATTACGTATTGCTAAAGTACGGTGACAAATTGGAACGTTTTTGTAGAGAATATGCAGTAGTTATGTTTTGAAGGAGGAGTTAAGTTGGTGGGAAGGTGTCATTGTCGAAATCGACGAAAGCAGTTTGGCAAGCAAAAGTATCATAGAGGGAAAAGAGTCGAAGGAAAATGGGTTTTTGGTTTGGTTGAGAGATGGACGAATGAATGCGTCTTTAGAGTTGTTGAAAAGAGAGGTGCCGAAACATTGCTAGGAATCATTAAAGAGAATGTTCTACCAGGATCGACTGTTATATCGGATTGTTGGAAAGCGTACGACTGTCTCGAGTTCGAAAGGTATGCGCACCTGACAGTCAATCATAGCTTGCGTTTCAAAGATCCAGAAACAGGTGCGCATACCAATAGTATTTAGGGAACTTGGGCAGGATTCAAAAGAAGTTTCAGTGGCTCTAGTAAGGCAAAAGGACAGTTTGATTCCTATCTTGCGGAATATATTTGGAGAAGGAAACACAAGAAATCCGACGCCCCCAATTTTGCATATATTCTCAGTGAGATCACAGCCATATATTCTGCAAAAGGAGAGGACTGAAGGTAATTTCATTTTTATTGACTTAAATAAAATATTGGGCTTTTCTAATATGGCAGTTTGGATTTTCGTATTGCTTTATTCTGGCAGCTTTATTTATTTTATTTTTTTTATCATTTTTCTGGACACATTTTGTTGCAACTCGCGCGAGTTTCTGCAATTCTCTGATTTCTTTAAGTGAAAGCAGATTTCTGAGTGTATAAGCAATGGAGAATTTATTCAATGTCTGATTTTTTTAAGTAAAAATAGATCGATGTGCCACATGGGCCAAACCAATTTTTTATTTGGTTGGCTATTTTCAGTAGAATTGTAATTAAAATTGTTTTATATCCTCCTGAAATGTAGCACTAGACTTATTTTAAGAGAAAGCTCCGCAGAAGAGGTAAAAATACAGGGGCCTGTGCATTTAATATATAGAGATCTCATAATTTATATTTAAACTGAATAAATGCAATTGTGTGTTAGCTGTAACTGTAATTCTAATCTTTTGCTTTCCAGAAACCTCGAGAAAATACATATTACAAGAATGTTCTCACGCACGATTAAAAAGCTGTAAAAGAGCCGGAGAAAAACATCTCAGTTCAGTTGTTTACTAAGTTTTTGTCGTTTACTTAGCTGCTTTTATTTTGAGATCGGATTAGCTTTCTCTGCGCTTTGAATTGTGTTCTGTTTAACGTTTTAGTAGTTTAAAATATAACTATTGTGTGATATTGTGATACTGTACAAATATCTGTGAGGAAACATTTCAACATTTTGTTTTATTTCTTGTCATACTAATAAATTTTGTTAACTTTTCATCAGACTTGTGCATTAAATCTATTACGAACCCGTACTCATGCAACAATATTATAAAGTGCTTTAGCTGTGGAAAATTCATACACAAAACAACTGAATGTAAAATGAAAACCATACAAGAACATCGAAAGCAGAGCAATTTAACAAATGAAACTTATAGAATGTCAAGCAAGGAAAGAGAATATGAATCAGCTACATGCTTATCTGAAGTATATAACAACATAGAAACTTCATGTCTTAATCAAGATAGAGAAAGAAAGAAAGAAACAGATGAACAAAAGAATAGAAAGATGAAATGGATTATTGATTCAGGATCGACATCTCACAAGACAAACAGTAAAATATTTACTAATTTTAAAGATGAAGAAAGACAAATAATGACAGCTGAAAAAAAGCGCCATGATCAAATCAATTGGTATTGGTAACATTAAAATGCAAACTGGTAGAAATAAGAACATCTTAGAGTAAATGTTCTGCAAGTACCGAATTTAAGAAAATCTGCTGTCAGTATCAAAAAATTGTAGATCATGATTTAAAAGTAATTTTTATCAAGAATAAAGCAGTGAATCATAACATGTAAACACTTCTAATGTAGCTACAGAAATGGAAATAAATTTGAAGTTGAAGAGCTAAAATTGTGATATACAGGGGTGTTTATAAAGTCCCGCCCATTTTGATGTTTAACTCTAAAAAAAATAAAGATTGATTAAAATAGTAACATAATGTTAATACTCAAAAGTTCATGACCCTGGGGAACTTCCACTTGCCCCCTTCGTCGCACGGAGAATATCAAGTGATATTCAATTTCACGAGGTACCGCCCTGTCGACCCTCCTGTAAACGTTGTCCTTTACAATTCCCAAAGGAAAAAGTCCCAGCGGCGTTATATCAGGTGATCTGGTGCCAATTGCCTCCTCGCCCAATCCATCTTCCTGTAAAATTGGTCATTCAGAACTACGACTATGGACCCCAATGAGGTGGTGCACCTTCTTGGTTGCAAAAAGACATGTGGCTGAGCTCTACTAGTTGTGGAATACGAAGTTTTCCAACACTCTAAGTACGACTGATGAGACCGCTTTTTCTGTAAAAAAGAAATGCCCAATGACTCGTCGTGCATTAGTCCACACCACACATTAACTTTTGGGGAATTCCTTTGTTCCTCACGGTATTCAGGGTTTTTAGATCCCATATCGCACTTAGCGATTAACATGCCAGAACGATGAAAGGAGCTTCGTCGGAGACATTATCGCTTCCAATTCAGCATCATCTTCTATCCTCCTTAGCATATCTGTTGCAAAGGCCATCCTCCCAGGCCTATCGTCCGGTTCCAAAACTGGAACAATTTGAACTTTGTATGCATGCAGTCTTACTTTTTATAATAAGCTTGTACACCATCGAAATAAGCAGACGATATTTAGAAAAGTACAGATATTTAGACTGGAAAATGAAATTATCTGAAA